TCTATGAAATATGTTGCCAATATGTATCAACATACCCACTGATCTATGAATTATGTTGCCATTATGTATCAACATACCCACTGATCTATGAAATATGTTGCCAATATGTATCAACATACCCACTGATCTATGAATTATGTTGCCATTATGTATCAACATACCCACTGATCTATGAAATATGTTGCCAATATGTATCAACATACCCAACATATGGCAGCAGTTTTTTTTGTATAACTTTCCCGTAAATATAGTCTACTTCTATTGTGTGTATCAGTTGAAAATCAATTACCGGGAGTGAAAAACGTAAACAAGTCTGTTCTCATGCCCATAAATCAGTTACGAGGACCACACAATGTATACAATCTTTTGGCGTTTCATGGAACGTCAGAGAGGTCACAGTGTTGTACATCACCAGTTCATAACATGGTGCAGCTCATATTCTGGTGCTGCAGCCTGATTCAGTTGGTTGCACCTAGTGCAGGTGGTAAAACAGAATGAAATCGTTCCCTGCAGTAACTATATACATGTTTTGTTTGTTGTTAAACGCTGCACTCAACAATATTCCAGATATATGACAGCATCTATATACATGTATGAGGATGTAACAGTATACACCCCTGTGCTAATATGCAACAGTATACACCCCTGTGCCAATATGCAACAGTATACACCTGTGCCAATATATAACAATATATCCTGCTGTGCCAGTATGTAAGAATATACCCTCCTGTGACAGTATGCAATAATAACTCCCCATGTGCCAGTATGTAACAATACACCCCCCTGTCCCAGTATGTAGCACTATACCCTCCTGTCCCAGTATGTAACACTATACCCCCTTGTGCCAGTGTGTAACACTATACCCTCCTGTCCCAGTATGTAACACTATACTCTCCTGTCCCAGTATGTAACACTATACCCCCTTGTGCCAGTATGTAATACTATACCCCCTTGTGCCAGTATGTAACACAATACCCTCCTGTGTCAGTATGTAACACTATACCCCCTTGTGCCAGTATGTAACACTATACCCCCTTGTGCCAGTATGTAACACAATACCCTCCTGTGCCAGTATGTAACACTATACCCCCTTGTGCCAGTATGTAACACTATACCCTCCTGTCCCAGTATGTAACACTATACCCCCTTGTGCCAGTATGTAACACAATACCCTCCTGTGCCAGTATGTAACACTATACCCCCTTGTGCCAGTATGTAACACAATACCCTCCTGTGCCAGTATGTAACACTATACCCCCTTGTGGGAGTGTGACACTATCCCCGCCTGTGCCAGTACATAACAATATAGTATTAGAATAGAAACTAAATTAAATGACAACTTTACAAGAGTTTTCGATTTGGTGCAGTTAGAACTCAATCTGGCATTTGTTGTCTTGTTGAATGAAGACTGAAGCATGGTTCCCACTTGTGTAGTGCATGGAAACTTCTGGACAATTTCAGCCTCCTTTTGGGGCTTTCAAGAAAACATTTCTTACCACATCTAAATGGACTCACAAAAGTCAGTGAGCGAGCGAGTTGGGTTTACGCTACTTTGAACATACATGTATTGCAGTAATACCATGGCATGTCAGCTTAATGAGGGACCAAAGTTATGCAGGTCTCAAACATTTACCACTTTGGTGAAACCCATGAGCAAGCTTACGGTGCTGACAAACCTGGAAAGATAATCAGGGCGAACACGGATCCAAACCCATAATCATGGGTTTCTGGAGTGCCCGAGGGACGCAACTCTAAACAGTGACTTGCGGCGCCTTAGATGAATGGGCCACCCATGCCCCCGCCAACTCACAAAAGTAATAGCAAGAAATATGTATGAGGGCCCAGGCCCAGAGACTCCTGGCTGCTAAAGATTATACCAATTTCCATGTACGCAGAGTAAGAGGGAGCCATGTTATGGCATGCTTCAGGATTATCTTCAGCCTTATAAGTGCATCATGTAGCCTCATAAAACAGATAAACCCTCCACATTTGTATAGAGTAAATAAACACAAGGCTAAAGATAAGTAAGATAAGCTTTTAAGTTGGTAATGTTTATTTCATCGCCAACATTACCACAATCTGAAGACCTTGGTACAATATCTGATACTAGTACACGTAGTGAAATAATATTATTATTCACCATGTCCTGTTATAAAATTTTCGGCATGGTAATATCCAAATCCTACCATGTCCCGAAGTAGTGATCATCTTGAAATATACGCTCAAATGATTAACTACACAATATCTTTTTATGAAAGATTTTGTCAGTCTGCAAGAAACAATCTGAAATAAAGTTAACTACAAGAAAGTATGACTTTTCGAACACATGAAATAACAAAATTTTAAAAAAAAGCAATAACATTTCAACAAAGAACATTAAGCCTGAAAGGGAACTTCATTAAACATGACAAGTTCAACACCTTTCTCTCCCAAACACATTCACACTTATTTACACTTACCTTGATGTGTTTTCACTAAATGTTTAGTAACCCGTAACCTGTATCCTTATTTGCCTTAAACTCCATCAAGAATTATCTGTCTCATATGAAAGTACCATAGCTCAAACACAATCAGTTCTTTCTTAAATCCCTAATAATTTTCATGCACTCTAAACAATTTTCTCCACATTAGATTTAAATGGGCCCTACCTGAAGGTGTTTATAAAAGCATATACTTCAACGAATGATGAGTGTGTGAGTGAGTGAGTAAGGTTTTACGCCACTTTTAGCAATATTCCAGCAATATCACGGCGGGTAACACCAGAAATGGGCTTCACACATTGTACCAATGTCAGGAATCGAACCCGGGTCTTCGGCGTGACACAACGATTGATGAATCAGTACTTCATCATATCCAGTGGCGTATTAACCTGATCAGTGTGTTGTGACAAGCTGTTATGTCATAATGTGTCTCAATCTGAAAAGCGCTGTTTTATTCTGCCTCTGCAGACTTACTTCAAAAAAAAAAGTGTAAACAAATTTTTAAATTTCATTCCAATTATGAAAATAGTCAACAGACAAAACATGTCCATCTGACATCTATCTTTAAAAAACAAAAAAAATTCATTATAGATTTGTATGAATAAAATGATAATGGTATCTTATGAAGGAGAGAGCAAACAAAAATTTGACTTCTCACCAACAGTAATATTTACCAAAAGACGACGTAAATGAGCTGAACATCATATCCTGCAGGAGTTTCATCATGCAGTTGTCATTCTTCTGTACAGATTAGATAGCCCAGAGAAAAAAAAAAGGCATAAAATATTTTTCAATGGAATACTCTTAATCAATAGTGTGGGGATGTCTACATAAGACTGGATTACTTTGGAGTGTCAACACATTAATGGAATTGCCAACAAAAATACAAATATTTGATACAATGTGACTGGACGATTGTGACACTGTATCAAATAATAGTATTTCTGGTTTTGTTGGAGATAATTACACGTATTACCCATGATTTAGAAATAACCCAGTTCATAAAAACCGTTGTGCACTGGTGCAAATATCACTTCACGCGCATCAGCATATTGTGTACATCACCCAGACAGCATTGTTCACGCCATTTGACAATTGTAGTTCCAAAACAGTGGTTGTTATAAGTGTATTTTTCTAAAGGGGGGCTCACAAGTATTAAGAGATACTGGGTCATAAAGAAATTATTAGCTCTGCTTGTGTGTCATGCTGATTTTACGAAACTCATGTCTGTATTTATGTATTACCCTTGCTCTCACTCTGTGAATACAAGCATTTTGACACCTGTTGCGTAAAATCAGTATGACACCTGCTCGTAAGATAATCTCTAACGTGTAGACACTCAACAGTAATCCAGACTTGCATGTGTAGACATCGAATGCCAAGCCAAATAAGTGTCAGGCACTGGGTACTGGGAGTGGAGGGTATTGTGTATGCATGTAATATGGGGAGGACCAGTACGACAAATGATGTTTACGTAGCGTGTAAACTGTCACCACTTTCACATCTCATTCACACAACGCAGAAAAAATTGAAACAACACAGTGAAAAGTCAAAGGCCATGTCAGTTTGAAGTGGTTTTATGCAAAATTCTCAAAAAGAGAAATAAACCCACAAGACAAACTCGATAAAGTAACCATGGTAACCTAAGCATGAAACAGTGCACAAAAAGCATACTTTCCTGAACTCAAGACTCGGCATCATACACAAGACATAAATGATCATTTTCATGCAATGGAATTTCCTCCTACAGCACTCCATGAAGACATGGCCTGCACACGAGTCATAGTCACATGGCCAGAAATGAAGCCACATCTGGTACACATTTCCAATAATCATTTATGCTTCAGGTATACAAGGACATATTCCAAAACAGGGTCCGAAATTCAAGAAAAGTTCTTTGCGTTTGCATGTCTAGACTGTCATCAATCTTGTCATCAATCTTGTCAAAATCAGTTCTTTTACAACACATGATACAAGGCCTTTCTGACTGAAGATCTGACAACCCTCCCTCAAAAGTGGCAACTGGAAAGCTCCATCTAAGGAAGGAAGTGTGGGTCCTTGAGCCAGTCAGCTTAGTTTCTTTACCGCCATGATTAAAAAAAAATTGATTTTAAAAATTAAACCCACAGAACACCAACAGTCCATCATTGGTACTCCATATTGGGTGCGGATACCACGGTACAACCTCTAATACTGACAGGCTGTTCAAGTTGGTCTTCCTCTGAATGCTTTGTTGACTGACTGAGAATTTAGAAGCCTTGACACTGATTGGCTGATAAGTTATGGAAAGGTTGTCCTATCTTCAGGGGTATCATATCATATCAGAGTAAAATACCTAATTTTAATTAAATATGATCGTAATGGCCCTTGGTTTTTATAAGTAATGGGTCACTTCACACAGAAGTATTGTAAGTAATCTGAAACGCTTATGTGAGAAAATAGCCCCGGAAATGTCTGCCTTGAGGATAATGTCCTTGTATCTACTGTATCACAATAATTATAAGGTATAAACTTAATAACCTCTTGCTCTATATAGATTTTCCAGTACTTCCCAGCATTTGGAAACTGTTCCACCAGACGTTCGTAGACAACCCTCGCATCTTCAATCTTTTTCATCTAAAATAACAAACAAGAAATTGAATGAATCTCTTGCACGTGTTGAAAGTCATTTATTAATAATCATATGCATATGATAATTTCAAATACATGTATGATGGTTCATGCAGCTAAAAGATGGTTTTACATTTTCAATCGGAATGGTACAGAAATAAAGATGGTGGCATCTTTAGAATACTGACTGCTAGCAATCTCCATCTACATGTAAGGTCATTATTAATAATGTATGTGTTATTCATTAATCTGGAAATTTGGAAACCAAGACAAACTTTTTAGGAATGTCACCATCCTGATTAAAGGGGTTACGCTGCATTTCTAAAAGTGGTCTAAAACTTTAAAAACAATACATAGGTTCTCATGAATTTAAAACTCATGGTTGGCAACTGTTTGTTTGTAAATGTTGCACAAGCAATATTCCAGCTATATGACTGGGGGCGGCCTGTCAAAAACTGAGTCTGGACCAGACAATCCAGTGATTAGCATTATGATCATCGATTGGGATGGCATGCATCAAGCAAATCAGCGAGCCTGACCACCCGATCCCGTTAGTTGCCTCTTCTTTACTACAAGCAGGGGTTGCTGAAGACCAATTCTAACCAAGAAGCAACTGTTAAAAAATGTGAAAAACATGTGGTTCTTTGGTGTTTTGCGCTTTCATTTCAAACCTGAAAGTTCGGGAAAAGATATTCCTACATGGATGCAATGTTGATACTTGTATATGCATTCCATCACAATTCTATTCCAATCAATCATATAGTCGAGTTTAAAAACATTACAGCTATACAGCACACTGCACTGGTGTACTCATATCTGAGAGACCAACGAGGACTGTGCCACCTTGTTCCCTCAAGACAAGCCACTCATGAGTTGCCTTTAGAAATATTCAAGTAAAGTCAGGAAGTTGGTTGGTTGGGTGGGTTTTTGTTTAACGCCGCACTCAGCAATATTCCAGCTATATGATGGCGGTCTGTAAATAATCGAGTCTGGACCAGACAATCCAGTGATTAATATCATGAGCATCGATCCATGCAATTGGGATCGATGACATTCATCAACCAAGTCAGCGAGCCTGACCACCCGATCCCGTTAGTCGCCTTTTACGACAAGCATAGTCACCGTTTACAGCAACCATGGGTTGCTGAAGACCTATTCTACCCCGGAATCTTCACTGGTCTAAAGTCAGGAAGTGCGACACCAGAAATTGACTTGAAGGGAATTTAACCAGGGCCTTCAGCATGACGAGCAAATGCAATGAAACTTGTTAACATGCTGTACCTGCGCATCTCTGATGAGAATACTCCAGGCCTCAGTATCTGATGGGTAGGCTTTGATCCTCCGCTCGGCCTTCACGATCTTGTCGGCAATGTAGCCTTGCTCCTGAAACATCAACGCCAATTAAAATAAAAACACACAGATTTATCCAGGATTTTAAAACTAGGTGTCCTTGCCAGGCTAATGGGAAATTTTTTTTATTCTGTTTAAAAATGGGATTTTTTAAAGTTCTTATTTAACAATGATTTATTAAGTTTTCCAAACTTGACTGGGAAATTGGTGGGAATATTCAGGAAAGTGTTCAAAAATTCATTTTTTTAAAAATGTTCTTATTTTTATATATTCTGAAGAATTGGGAATTTATTTATTTCGAATACGAAATTTTAACAATCATTTGATGGAAATTTAAATTCCAATTTGGGAAATTTTACTGAAAATTGATGCAGAACTGGGACCAAATGTTGGTGTCATTACAACCTTTGTCCCTGTGTCAATATTTATCAGTTCAAAGTCAAACAGTACCGTGACTTGAAATGTTTGATCCACATTGAGTAAACACTACTAGTCTTTAGTCATCACGTTAAATTGTGATGTTAAATTTTAATGATGGATATTGTCAGTTACATAGATACATATGTCACAAAGAGCAGCAAAATGTAAGCTCACTATCACAACTTGCAGACCAAAACTAACCATATCAAATACTTAAACATAATCTGTGAGAAGAAAACAATTTTTCAACTTTTTTTACTACTTTTAACCTTTAGCCAAATAAGGATATGCCAGGATAATGTCAAGACTTCAGAATAAAAGGACCACAACTCTTGCTACATGCTCTTATAATCTTAAAGATAAATCTCTTACGAAATAATTCAGAAACTCTGCAAAATTTCAGTTCAATGCCTTGAAATGGTTATTTGTAATTTCTTAATGCATAAAGCATAGCCTGTACTTTTAGCCAACAGACTGTCGAAAAGTAATGTTTTGGTCTGTAGAAGGGTTGGTTGGTTGGTTTGTTGTCTAACACCGCACTCAGCAATATTCCAGCTATATGACGGCGGTCTGTAAATAATTGAGTCTGGCCCAGACAATCCAGTGATTAATATCATGAGCATCGATCCACGCAATTGGGATCGATGACATGCATCAACCAAGTCAGCGAGTCTGACCAGCCGACTTTGGAAATAATCTCTATAGTATTAAGTTTTCAGGTGGTTCATCGTTGATGAAACACCAATAAATGTTACAACAGAACAGATTTATCTCCCTTCTACCAGCACTAAAATGTATCTTTAACAATGGACTTTTTTCTTGCGAACATACTCAGTGCGGTGATGCTTTCAGAATGTGGACACACATTTCTTGTAATCGTTATGGTAGTCCATCGTTAGGTTGGCGGGGTGGGGGTGTGACTCCTTGAGACACAATAAATGAACAATTTTTGTTTTCATGTCATTATTGTTGACATCAAATGTACTTGTAGTACAAAATTATCGGGAAATAACAAATTTCAAAGATAAATGGATCCAGTTTTGCAACATCACAATAAAATCAACCATGGCCATGGCCTGCAAAATACAGCTGTTGAAATAAGCCAGGCCTGGATATTCCAGTCTGAATACAAAGAGAAACATTAAACATGGATGTTGTCGATGTGGAAATACCTGACGGGACAAGGGCTACTAGTATTTGATCAACATAGCCAAGTAATGGCGTTTTTGAGTGGCCGACAAATCTGTGCCACATTATGACAAACTTTGCTGATTTTTGTGGCCTGTGATTACGGTATATCTATTTCATCACATCTGTGTAACAGTTGTTGCTCTAACACAGTGATAGGTATAAATAGTACTCAAGCAGCAATCTTTTGAGGGTCTATCTATAGTCCTAGAAAATATTCCTATTTGAAGTGAAGCAGCCCCAAAATCAGAAGCGGTTATCGCTCATTAACCAGTTCAAATGTAGTAACATTAAGCAATCAATTTAACTCATCATTTAATGGCAAGGTAAAATGAGTAACTAGTACCGTATTCGACGTAATAAACACCCAGGGCGCTCACAAAATTAAGAATAGGGGGCTCTTATTAAAATATTATTTTGGTTGAAAAAAAAGAGTTGAAAGATAAATTTCGTGGTTTATGCTGACAGCCTGAAATGTTTATGTACGACAGATATATTTTTCCAGAACTAAATTCCCCATAATTAAGGGTGCATATAACACACAAGTGCGTATTTTATGCGAATAAATAAGTCTTGTATACATAGATCAATTGGAAAGAGTGCTTATTTGGGATTGTTCACTAGCCAATATATAAGCAAATATCACCGTGAGCACCTATTAGAGCAGGGCGCTTATTACGTCGAAAATGGTATATGCATAAAAATTTGTTATCTAAAGTGGGAGAAATGTTTCTTGTGTCACTGCATGGTAGGCCTAGGGCTCAGTCAGGTACGGTTTCCGAACACGCTGAAGATGTCTCACACATCCGCCCACCACATCCCAGCAATCTTGGCAACTGTGTGGTAGCCAAAACACTCACATCAGGATCTAGTAATGGTATAAGTTAATAAAATACATATAAATTAATATTATTGTTTAAGTGCCAATCAGACACAGACGGATTTCCTTACCTTAACATTGACAGAGAGAATTTTGAATTAGCCGTATTATATCAACAATTATTGGGCAAATAACAGATCTAGCTCAAAGATTTAAACAGTGTATGAAATTATGGGTGGAGTAATTTATCTAGCTCAAGGACTAATACGCTTTCAATTCAACTCATTTAAAATACATTGATAATGCATACAAAATACATTTTTGGTGAATATGAATAATCTATATCGAAGGGGAATTATAATTTGCATTCAATGTGCATTAACTTCTTAATTAGAATTACATTCTCTGGAAACAAGCATTGATTAAAACACTTCACTGTTTCTCTTCTCTGGCTACTGTCAGCCATGTTTTGTTTGTTTGTTTGTTGTTTAACGCCCCATTCAGCAATATTCCAGCTATATGACGGCGGTCTGTAAATAATCGAGTCTGGACCAGACAATCCAGTGATTGACATCATGAGCACTGATCCGCGCAATTGGGAGCACTGATCCGCGCAATTGGGATCGATGACATGCATCAACCAAGTCAGCGAGCCTGACCACCCGATCCCGTTAGTCGCCTTTTACGGCAGGCATGGGTTGCTGAAGACCTATTCTAACCCGGAATCTTCACGGGTCCAACCATGTTTTGTGCGTTGTGGAGACAGTAAGTGTTGTTGTTGTACGTCAGAATTTAAGGGATATGACCGGATGTGTTTTGGGTTGCCGGTGCTGTCAGTTCCAATATCGGCTGTGTGTCGATTCCAATGAGAACTGCAATTGGAAAGACTTCCGCCCCTCCGAAAGTTTTATAGGTATGCAATGCCGATCAATCGTTTTAATTATGTATACTTTTTAGGGGGATACAGGCGGAAGTCTTCCCCTGCTGTTACGACAATAGTTACTGCATTTATACCTCATTTGTCCAACTTGGTAGCTATACACAAGATATTTCTTACATAATTCTGATAAGGCTTCTCTTCATTCAAATAGATAGTAGGGCCTGAGTGTTAGTTGTGAATCTCAAGTGGCCAACAATCTGTGATCCTGCATTCAGTGCTATGATTATCGTAGTATTGTAAAACAAATTGGTCTACGTATTTTCAAAATGGTGTTTTCACAGGCTTTATACAAAAAATGAACTTCTCTTACCATGCTTACTTTATGTTCCATGTTTAAATCATGGTTTGTTACATGTTCTTGACTCTAAAAATAAAAATAAAATTCCCTATGCTGATTTGGATAGAGCTAGCTTGAGCTGGCTAGACTTGCTTTTGTATGCATTTCTAGATTATGTTTTTTTCATAAAATAAATATATTCCACGGTCATGGTGCAGGACTACCATAGGCCTACCTACTCACATAAACTTTTCAATGTTACGTTTTGTTAATTGTTATTTTTTTGCTTGCATGCACATGTTTAGTACTTAAGTACCGGTGAGCATGGTAAGACAAGTCATTACATACAGGTCTCTGCATGTACAAACTGACCAGTTCATCAGGATGACATGGTTACCATAACTCTTTCACCAAAATTATATTCTAAGCCCCCTATTTCTAATTTTGAGAGCGCCCTGGGCGCTTATTACGTCAAATACAATAAGTACAATTCTGTACAGGTAACCAATAAGACCAGTGCCACTAACTCAATACTCACAGGTATCAACTACTGCTCACAGATATTGAGGTTTTTTTATATCATAAATTAGGTAAGTCCGAAATGCTCTATCAATTTCAGCTTTTTTAGAAAATTCTCCCGATTCAACCAAATTAGGTCACTGACTTTTCAAGGGTTATTTTTTTTCAAAGTTAGTCAAAACATCTCAGCTCCAAAATTAAAGGTCCTAATTAATGATTCCTGGTATTTGTACAGTGGTCTTTGACAAACCCTGTAGTATGAGGGTGCTTCATAGTAGACCAGCAATGTTCTTGATGTTGAGTGAGTTTGGTTTAACATGTTTAACACAGCTTTGAACAGTATTCCAGTTTTATTACTGCCTCGCAGCTTATGTGGGAGGAGAGCACGGAGGGATGCAGGTCTCACAATGTTTACATCTTTGGTGAAACCCAGGATGTGCGTATGGTGCTGACAAACCTAGAAACATAATCGGGGCAAATTGGGATTCAAATCCACAATCAAATGTTTCTGGCACGTCCATGGCACAGGGAATTGCAGCACTTAGAAAACTGTGCCGCCACTGCACCCTCTAGGGCCTATATGTTAGAAAGACGGGAGGAACGAGGAATGTCCATAAATATCCCACCAACCTTGACACTGACAGGGAACAATTAGGTTAACTGGATGAATTTAATTTTAACAAATTAACATGTTAATAAAAATTAACCAAATCACAAACATACATTATGATTCACTGCTTTTCTGTTGCAATGAGACTGGTTATAACATGAAGCCAAAGTATTCTAATACTTCAGAGAATTTCTTTCAGTTGGACAAATAAAACCAGAATAAGTCTTCAGATAAATCTTACCTCTGGTGGTAGGGCTCCTAGATGCGCCATCATCAACCCTCGGATTCACGGTCTTTACAGAGAACAAGTTAGCTCACAATAATTCAAAAATGACTCGGCGAGTTTTCAGAGAAAGGAAGACAACAACCACCTAGCCAAAAAGTACAAATAGACGTATGGATAGATATATATTTATTTTAAATAGTTATCCTAACGGTGAATTAAAACCAGAATGTGCAATTTGTCCCGCCATCATCTCAGGTTTTGAGATAATACCCTAACAAGAACTGAATTTGGTAAAACATGTGCAACTCAACCACACAACATGGCGACCTCCATCAACGCCGATCAACATCCGGTGATCACGTGGTCCGCAAGCGTCTTTACATGGGGGCGGGAAATTCAAATTCTTCTCTGTCACGTCATGTACTGTATAGTCTAAAAGTATTCATTGAAATGAAAAAAAACCTGTTTTGCTGGATTTAATAATCGACACAAAGCATTACGTAGATGTAAATACGAAATAACAAAACAACTGTTGCTAGTTTTATCTCAGTGCTCAATACAAAATGTACTTTACAGGTGGTAATTTGTAGGCACTTTCGACATTCAAAAATAAAACTAAGTCCAAATTGACATGGCAGAAACAGGCTTTAGGCATTATGCAAATTAGCCTGCAAAAAAGTGATCAAAACAACAATAAAAATAACAGCTATGTTTATGTACATAATAATAATGACATGTAATTTGTTGTTTGAGAAAGGAATATGTTACTTTTACGTTCTGATATTTTGACGATGATTCACTATCCCACAATGCCACTCACAAATCACTAACCACTGACAAATCACATGCACATGGGTTTCAAGCACCTGTTTTCACCTGTCGTCAAGGTGTCATAGGTCATGGACATTCACCTTGATCTACTAACACCTGGTTATGCTCAGTTTCACAATAGTCTGTTTTGTTCATATTTTTACACACTTTTACTTGTAAAAAGACATAAAAAACCTTTGATACGCTGTATTTGTGCCAAGGCCCAATTAGTACTAATTGAGTTGTTTGAATATTTATATATTTTTTTATATTAACTGCATTTATTTAAAATCTGAGATCGAAAAAAACAGTTTTTTTCCATTTCCGTGAGTACTTTTAGTATGCTTGATTTGAGATCAGCAAATATTTTTAAATGTCTACGTGGTAAATACTTGTGTGCAGATGTTTTTTGTTGTTGCTGACTACACCACCAGCTGCTGGGCTGAAGGTGACCATCAGCTTGGAGTGAGTGAGTGAGTATGGTTTTACGCCGATTTTAGCAATATTCCAGCAATATCACGGCGGGGGACACCAGAGATGGGCTTCACACATTGTACCCATGTCGGGAATCGAACCCGGGTCTTCGGCGTGACGAGCGAACGCTTTAACCACTAGGCTACCCGACCGCCCCCCATCAGCTTGTAACCACCATGAGACGCCGCACAGTAACAACCTGGAAGGATGGTACGGGAGATTGAAGAAGGTGAAAGGAACAGAACAGGATAGAACAGAATTTATTTCGTATAGTCTGGCCATGAGGCCAATAGTACAGATGGTTGGATAATATTTGACTTCAGTTAATATTGGCTTTGGATTTCTAAGTTTAAACATTTTATCTAAATAAAGAGCTAGCTGAAATAAAATGTTGTCATTATTGGCAATATTTCTACACGTATCACTTGTCCCCAACTCGTATTTTCATGATTCAAATAAACTGTTTACTATAACCCCCATTAGCCCATTTCTGGTGTCCCCCGCCGTGATATTGCTGGTATTATGGCTAAAAGCGGCGTAAAGCCATACTCACTCCGATACCCCAGTTGTTAGACAGTGGAGTAGCGATGGCTTGTCAAAACATGAAATTTACCTGTTCTGGTAATGGACCAGTCCTAATATGATTATCCCTCCCCCTGTATAATTAAGATCAAATAAATAAAGATGTTTGAAGTTAATGATGGATCTACTCAGATACAATAGGATTATATATTGTTTTATTTTCGACCCGTATAGATTTAATAACTATTTCATCACGAAAGTTCTCACCTCAGCTTCTTACAAGAATACTGCGTTTTCTCAAATTTCCAGGTTTTTACTAAATATTATCAGAGGTATATGAATTTGTCATAAACATGGCATGTTTGCAGAAAGTTGACATTGTTACATCGCAGAGAGGCACCTCCCACGTACACTCTCACCTCTACAGCAAGAACAAGATTGGGCGACTCTCCCCAAAGTTGGAATATTGACACATGCGCAAATATTTGTTTTGGCATAATTATTGTAACCTATGTTAATTAACGTTTATAAAAAAATACTCTCAAGCGAAATTTGCATGATATTAATTTATATAAAAAGCGAAGAACATTAGAAATCAACATCAGATGTCTTTACCATGTAAATCTTAGTTTGAATAAACCTCATAATTGGTTCTGCTATAATGTGCATTCTGGTTATTTAAAGTTTGCTTGTGTAGTGCTAGATTATATACTCACCAAAGGACACTCCAAGGTGAATGGCGATTCGCTGTGCAGAGTTGCGTCCCTTGGGCACGCCAGAGACCTATGATTGGTTCGAATCCCGGTTCGCCTCGATTATGTTTCTATGTTTGTCAGCACCATACCCGTGCTCGTGGGTTTCACCGAAGTGGTAAACGTCTGAGACCTGCATCACTTCGGGCTTTCCTCCCATGCCGTGATATAACTGGAATACTTTTAAAAGCGGCGTTAAACCCAACTGACTTACTCCAAGGTGAATGCGTCACAAATTTTATAATATACATATTTCTAAATTGTTTTGTGTAATAAAATAAATAGAAAAAATGTGTTTAAAGTAAAACAAACTGTGAATAATAACTTACAACTTGAGAAGTAGAATCAACATAAAAAAATGAATGTGCTTTTCATAAAACATGTTTTCCCAAGTGACGCCATTTTCTTTGGAAAGACCCGATTATGAGATTACATGTTCACTAAAGATGCATCATTAAGACATGTATAGACATTTGGTTTACTCCATCAACCGGTTTCCAAATGCTAAATTATTTAACCTGATGTTTTGTTTGTTTGTTGTTTAACGCAGCACTCAGCAATATTCCAGCTTTATGACGGCGGTCTGTAAATAATCGAGTAAGGACCAGACAATCCAGTGATTGACATCATGAGCATCGACCCACGCAATTAGGATACGATGACATGCATCAACTTAACCTAATGTTGGTTTGTTTGTTGTTTAACGCCGCACTCAGCAATATTCCAGCTTTATGACGGCGGTCTGTAAATAATCGAGTCTGGACCAGACAATCCAGTGATTAATATCATGAACATCGGTCCGCGCATTTGGGATCGATTAACCTAATGTGGTTATACTTGTTGAATTATTGATGTGGCTACTTAAACCCATGCAACATAATGACAGTCTTTTCATCTATTTCGTAAGTCCTAATATTCTCATGAGGTTATTTTAAGGTACTGACAAGTGGGGTTAGAATAGGTGCTGGGCAAGAAGGAAGACCCTCAACAAACCACTGGGCGCAGACCCGATCGTTGAAAGTGCGCAACGCTTCAAACACTGGGGACCCGTTTTAACCCCAGTCAGAGTGATCCACTCCTGCAGAAGTTTGGGGGACAGTTTCTCCTGTCGTTTGTTATTGTCTGTTTTACGCTATTCCCTTCTTCAAACTTGATTGCGGTCAAGCATTTGTGATTAAGTGACCCCTAAAGTATTTATTTATTTTTTATTTTTTGGGGACATAATTTATTCATGTTAATTGTCCATGATTTTACATGGCCCTGTACATTGCCACGTGGACTGGCATAACAGGATTTATATTTGGGTTTGAGTTGCTTAAAACCCCTAAAGTATTAAAGTCAGCAAAGTTGCTGGGTTGAGTTGACTTCGATGTGTCGAATGAATGAACCTGTTTATGTTTTGAAAAATAACTGAGCTCCTAAACAACAAGGAAATAAATTGCAAATCTCAAACCAAAAGCCCCTCCCCCCTCCTGAAAATATAATTTGTATCTCCCTGAATGTTAGGTACAACTTGTTTCCACGCATATATTTAACAGGAAGGTATAAAAAATACGCGACCCGTCAAATATACCACTTCTTTACCTTAATGTATCCAGTACAGGAGTTAAGTGTAATAGACTGTATATATATGGTCAACATCATTAAAGTCACGTCTCAGTTCTCGCTTACGCTAATGCACGAGATTGGTATGTGGCGATCTTGTTGCTTTATAATAAACAGACCGCCTCCGTGGTCTAGTGGTAGAGCGTCCGCCCGGAGAGCGGAAGGTCCGGGGTTCGATTCCCGGCCGCGTCATACCAAAAGACGTTAAAAGATGGTACTTGTTGTTACCCTGTCTGGCGCTCGGCATTAAGGGACTAAAGCAAGGACTGGTCGGCTCGGAGTCAGTATACTGTGTCTGAGTGGGCTATTCATGTTAAACTGCAGCATGTCATCTCAGCACTATAAATCGGCATCAGTCCGGACTAGTACAAGCAGCTACACACACACACACACACGTGCATGCAGTCGCTATGTAAGTGCAATAATCTTGGACGCGACGTTAAACCCGATTTCACCTCACCTTATAATAAACATGTTTGTCGGAAATACTTGACGCGCTAATGTTTTATCTAAGAAGAGTCTCATTTGTTTTTTGTTGTAAACATATTCAGCTGATCAAAGCCGTATATAGATATCTATATTCGTATTGGAGCTGATCGATCTGTGACGCAGTGCAGAGACAAACTTCGCTCTAATGATTTGAATACGTGTTTCACACTTTGAATGGTCATTTAATTAACATACCGTGTCTTCTGTCATGGATCGTTCATCGTTTTGTAGACAATCTGCTTGTATATATAACGCACTGAGGTGTACGTTGGAAACAGAATAATATATCACGAATGCCATTCCTAGATCCAATAGAAGAGCGTTATCTGTGTCCACATATCGAGTCGCCTATATCTATGTTGAAACTGGTCGTTATAGCAACACCCCACTAGCAGAAACAACATACGTTTTCTCTGAAGATGAATTGCAGGTGTGATAAACTGTCCTTTACATATCGAATTTAGGTAGTATCTGTTTAAAAAATATGTCGAATGCTGGGATGTTTTTGTGTGTGTTACAGATGCAGAGAAAGTGTTTTATATTAAATGTGTGCAAACCTTGTAATCTGATATGTCTTGATTTCCTTAACGATACCTTATATCTTAGGTATTTTTACCCAAAAAATATTTTAAGATTGTTTATCTTGCATGTCTTTTATTATCGATCGTTTTAGAAGTCTCTCATAACGCCACGTGGAGTGTTTCAGT